CCACAAACCCTGCACCCACGGCTCGCCTGAAGGGGGCAGAACTCTTGCCTCGGTCGAGGTACCAACGTGCAGCCTGAGGTCAGCGTAGAGTAGGGTTTAGGTTTCAAGGGTTTTATTGGTTTTGGTTTTTGGGGTTTTGGGTTTTACGGTTTAGGGTTTTAGGGTTTAGGGCTTAGGGTTTAGGGTTTTAGGGTTTAGGGAGATCCGGTTATGGGTTCCTTGGAGGGCTACTGTACGGGGTACTATGAGGGTTTAGAATAGGGGTCTTGACAAAGACAAGTTCGGGTTGGGGGATAATAACTGTGGTGTACTTAAATATGGACTAGAAAGAGGTTTTATATTGCTCATTGTTCCGACCCCCAAACGCGATCACACCAAGAAACCTCTATCAAAAGTCTTAAGAGAATATTCACGTTGAGGTTATCTTAATCTTACCGCCTGTGATGTACATCTCACCAGCCGAGTTCAACTGCACACCAGAACCAGAATCGCTGTCGAGACCACCTGAAACCCCAGTCCCGAAATTGCAGCACTTTGATATCAGGCTATAGAGTGAGAGTTTTGAAGGGGGCGATCCTCTATAGAGCTGATGATCAAAGTCAGAAGGCAATGCAGGATTTGATCCAGAGGCCAACCTTTAGGGGTCTAGCGTTCATGTAGAGGGGGTTGAGAATGGGCTCAGGTTTGGCATTTGGGCTCCTAGTCCTTGAAAAACCTGTGTGAGACCACGGAGCACCTCGCGCTGCGGTTGTTGTATCGTACTATTCCGCGCCCCTCCGGCTGATACGGGAGCCTGAATAACTTCCCATACTAGTCGTTATGCTTCCTGATTATGTTATTACAGTAATCTGTCCCAAAGCTCTGTTCCAATCATTAAGGCCCCTGAACCGCATCACCGCCGAAAGGGTACCCGAAGTCTAATGCCCAACAGCTCTTAAACCCTGAAGCTTTTAATCCCCCGGCCCCACACCATAAACCCCAAACCGCACATCCCAGCATCAAAACCCCAATAGCCCTAAACCCTAAACCCTCATAGCCCAATCCCTTACCCCTAATCCCCAAACCTAGTCCCTAAGCCCTAAACCCTCAGACCCCAGTCCCTAACCCTAATCCCCAAACCCCTAAACCTTCAGATGCTAAACCAAAAAACCCAAGTCCTCAAAGCCAAAGACCCCATCATCAAACGCTCTAAAGCGGCCCTGTGGAGTGCAGCTCTTCCTCAGGCCCTCCGTGGCATTGCCTCCTGACAAATGAGGCTTTTCAGTTTTTTTTTCTCCGGGGGGAGGATTTTGGGGTGTAGAGTTTGGGGTCTTTGATGGTTGTTGGCTTGCTTTGGGTTTTTTTGGGGGGCTTGGGGGTTTGAGGCTTTGGGCTTAGTTAGGCTTTAGAAGGGAGCTACAAGAGGTTCATGACGTAGGTTTCAGGAACTCTGGGTCTTGGGCGTTAGAGGTTCAGTGCAGGAGGTTTAGGGTTTAGGGTTTAGGGTTTAAGGTTTAGGGTTTAGGGTTTAGGGCCGAAATAGCAACATCCTCTCAGCCACCCTGAGGCGTCACAAGAGAAGACTGGCGCAGCGAAGCCCTGCAGCCCACCATCTCCCAACTATTTGTGGAGGTTCATGGGTAGCTATAAGTGGGGTTAGAAGTAAGGTAACGATAGCTATGACCCATACTAGGGGGCTTAGAACCCCACTTATAACTACCCGTGAACCTCCAACTAGGCCTTTACTTTATGGCCCCGTTTCTCTCCACAGGAACTCCTTCCTAGGCTTTAGGACTTAGGTTGTAGTTGCTGATCCCAACCCCGCTACTGTGTGCGCTGCTTCCCCTAACCCTAAACCCTAAACCCTAAACCCTAAACCCTAACGGTGGGCGCACCGTGTTTCAACACGGATTCGGCCAGGTCTGGGCGGGGGATTGCCAGGGCAGCATAGGCGTAGTAGGCCTGCAGCAGTGTGGCCAACAGAAGACAGCCTTCTTTATGATACAAAAAAGATACTAATTATGGCAATATACAAATATACTATACTCTCCTAATGTGCTGTAATAAGATACTAGAACAATACACTCGCCTTCTTTGATGTCCCAGAACCTGCGGTAGAAGCACAGCTGACCAGGGCCAAGAAGTGCAAGCTTCCCAAGTGACTGTGGCTGTGGCTGAAGAAAAGTCTTTCTGCACCGGCTGTAGATCATTAAGGGCCTCAACATTCAGATTCTGGTTCCGGGCGCATTCTACGACAAAGTATAGGGTTTAGGGTTTAGGGTTTAGGGTCCCTAAACCCTAAACCCTAAACCGTATAGGGGCC